GATAAATCTTTGTATGGGCTAAAACAGAGCCCAGGACAATGGTACAAGAGGTTTGATGCCTATGTATTGAAGATATGGTTTAAAAGAAGTGAATTTGATGATTGCTTGTATTTTAATGACATAAAAAGCGGTTGTGAAGTCTACTTGCCGCTTTATGTCGATGATATACTTTTAGCTGGATTTTGTAAGTCTCAATTAAAGAACTGAAAAATCTTTTAAAATCAGAATTTGACATGAAAGATTTAGGGAATGCTAGAAAAATTCTAGGAATTGTGATAACAAGGGATATGGTTAAGAATAGGTTAACAATTACACAAGAAGCTTATTTGAACAAAGTGGTAACTAAATTTGGAATGAAAGACAGTAAAATTGTAAATGTGCCTCTTGCTAGCCATATGAATTTTTCACATGATCATTCGCCTAAATCTGAGTTTGAATTGAAAGAGATGAAAAATATTCCTTACGCTTATGCCATAGGTTCTGTCATGTTTTCTATGATTACTACCTGACCTGATCTTGCATTTTCCATCAATCTCCTAAGTAGATTTATGTCCAACCCTGGTAAGCCGCATTGGGCGGGTATGAAATGGTTATTGAGGTATTTGGTTGGAACTTTAAATCTAGGCTTAGTGTATGAGAAAAGATCTGAGAAGCTAACTCTTAAAGGCTATGTTGATTCTGACTTTGTTGGTGATAGAGATAGTAGGAAATCAATTACAGTTTACTTCTTTACCCTAGGTGATAACTGTATAACTTGAAAATCTCAACTGCAACCTTTGGTGACTCTGTCTAGTACGTAAGCTGAATATGTTGCTATAACTGAGACTGCATATTGATACTGGTTAATTTTTCTTGCAGGTTGTGAGCGATGATGATGAACAGTCCTTCCATGTGCAATTTCGCAACCGAAAAAGTGTGTTACGAGAATCAAGGTGAAGAATGTGGGCTTATTTGGCCTTAGGTGGTTCTCCTAATACTTTATTGGGCCGATGCATTTATTATTGATACTTACCCATTACTATTGTTGCTTAAGTGACACTCACTTATTGGTGGCATTAGTATGACCCGGATTGTGTGCTTGTTTGGAACCATTTTCGACCCTTAGATTTAATCCACGGTTGGGATTAAAGCTTGGCTTTAATATTTTTATTTGGGCCTTGGCAATTGAAATCTTCTTCTCTCCTTCTCCAAGAAGCTGCCCCGTTTTTCTTCTCTCTTTGTCGAAAGCCGTTCTTCTTCCTTCTAACCTAAAATTGACCTTGGTAGCCTATTGTTGAGGGAATAACTTTGTGATGCTCAGACCTGAAATAGGGTTGAGTTATTTGGTTTATTCTCAAGGGTTTAGGTCAAATTTTAGGGGTTCTTGGCTGATTTGGTAGATTCCTTTGAATCGATGACCTTTGCGAAGTTGTTGGAGACTTTGGTTGGTTCTTATCTCTCTCTGGACGGTGAATTGCATGGCGTGGAAGGCTGTTCCTGAGCCTAGGCATTTCAGCCAAAAATAGGAGCAAGAACGGTGTGCAACGGCTAGTAGAAGGGAAGTAGATTTCTGCCCCCTTTTTTGTCTCATTTTATGCTTTCAGTTTTCAGCTTCTATGCATTCTTATGACTTCTGCAATATATATGTTAATGTATGCTGGAGATTTTAGTTTATGCTGAATCTATTGGTTATTGAATTCGGTTATTGGTTATTGAACTGGATTTGCCTCTGATAATGAGTGTATATGCTGCTATAATTCCTAACAAGGAGAGAGGAAAATTGGAAGGAAGGAGATTGGTGACTTAAGCGGCTTAACGAAATTGCCCTTTGGCAAAAAGTTCGCGTGCAAAAGGAACTTGGATTAACGACATAATTTGACGGAATTCATCCATAGGGATGATATAAAATAAATAAAAGGTGGGAGACGGGAGAGATGATAAAAATTGAATGCCGATGAAATTTTCACGAATAAAAAAGTTTGGAAATCCAGAGTGAAATCTACTCTTAAAATTTCAACATGACACAAAAATACAACAATATTACAAAGTCATGTGCAACGCACACATTAAAGCATAACATTCTTTTAGAGGCACGAGTAACTTCAATTAAATGAAAGGTCACGTGCTATGTCCCAATGAAAATATGTTTGAAGTCAAGTTACTAACTACTTTATAAACAAAGTACAAATAGATAAGCAAATTTTAAAATTAAAAAGTCAATTTATATTAAAAAATAATTTGCTTATTTTGAAAATAATTCTTATGACTTCTTGAATTGTATGTAATAAAGTAAATATATGAAGAAGATATACCCCCACATGTTCTTCTTGCAAGTAATTACTAATTACCCGGAGAAATTCTAAGAATGGTCTAGTTTTAAGAGCAAGACACCAAAGTGACAAATTTGGCCAATTGGCCTACAAAATAATTAGAGACACAACGTTAAAATTAAAATAACTATATATAGCATGATATCTTTATGAATAATTAAATATTAAATCTTTATGATGTCAATGATATCTATAGACATTTCAAAGCTGAATTATTTCTTTAATAATTAAAAAAAATTATTTCTCTTCAAACAACGCGAAGGGGAAATTGCGTAAATCCAATTAACTAGGTTTACTCAATTTCTAAGAACAAGTTTTAAGATATCTAACCGAGGCAATTGACTTGTTCGCATTAATCTTGATCTTCTTTATCTCGTATTCCTATCAAAGAAATAAAGATATTCTCTGTACGAGTAGAATAATTCATTTTGTGTGTCTCCGTTTCAACGATCAGTCGAGTCGATTTTTAAAATGGTGGTGCATATTATCACTCAGTACAAGTCATAATGACTAGAAAGCCAAACAAAACCTTTCCCCTCGTACACAAAAAAATAAGTTGAGCGTCACATAGATTTGCCATTTAGTAAGTTGTAAATTTACGCACGTGCCTTTTGACTCATCTATGACTTGAGAAGAACCTTCCAAACATGCCCTAAGCACTTTCTCACTCCTACTTTCTCTCTCTAACAACCCCGAACTTCGATCGCTTGTGCTCTACAAAGGTTGACGATTTGCAAGAGTTAATTCAATTCCTTCAATATTCAAACAGGGTTTGCTTACTTGAATGAGGTCGGTGTTTTTATTTTATTTGTTACTGTTTTATTTGATTTGTTTTAATGGGTTTCTTGTTTCTTGATTGAGATTTCACGAAATGGTTTGATGATAAGCTGAAAATTTCAGTTGAAATTCAATATATTTATTTTCTGGGCATTTCTTTTATAATTCTTGAAGGTTTCTTGCGCAATTTTTATTGTAATTTCGCTAATTTAAGCGGACAGTGTGCTTAATTCTTGTATCTGATTTATAGAATTTGGTATCTTTTCTGTAAATTAATTAATTTAAATTGTTTCTGAGTTTGATTTGTACATGGGTTGCTATTTTTCGCAGAATTTAGTTATCCATTGTGTATCAGCTGGCATTATTGACTTTGCTTATCGAGTTGACTTTTTGATGGAAATGGACAAGAATTAGGGTTTTGGATCGAGCTAACAAAAATCGAGTTTGTGGTTTTTCTTGTTTTCCCTAATTACTTTGAATTTGATGGTATCAATGAATTCGGCTCCGGAAATGCCTGTAGATCGGCATTGTCTCCGAGTAGATACTTCAAAGTTGAGACTTCAGATTGAGAGGAGACTTGGCCGGCAGAAGGCAGAGAAATATTTTAATCTATTGAATATGTTTCTAAGTCTCAAGCTTAGCAAAAGAGAGTTTGATAAGCTCTGTATTGGGTTGCTGGGGAGAGAGAACATCTCTCTTCATAATGGGCTTATTCGAGCAATTATCAAGAATGCAAGTGTTGCCAAGACACCTCCACCTAAAAGCAGCAAGGCCCAAGCTCCACTGAGTGTTAAAGTGCTGAACGGGTATCAAAGAAGTAGCCTTCAATCGATCTGTAGAGACACATTTCCTCAATCTCCTAGGAAGGGTAGAACTCCCACCCCTCGAGATCGCAAATTCAAGGACAGGCCAAGCCCACTCGGGCCACACGGGAAGACCCACAATGTGGTTTGTGAAGATACAATGCCTAAGGTTCAAGAGCAACAGAGTGCTACTGAGTTGCTATCTTTGGGTAGCCGTCCTCCGGTTGAGGTTACGTCTGTGGAAGATGGTGAAGAGGTGGAACAATCTGCAGGAAGCCCCGGAACTCACAGTAAAAGCCCTCTTAGAGCTCCTCTCGGCATCTCTCTTACTGCAGGAGTTACAAGAAAGGTATTGCTCAATGACTCACCACCTTCTGAGACCTGCTTTACAACAGGGGAGTTGCCGAATACCAGTTCTTTGAGGAAGAGGTTGGAACAGAAGTTGAAGACTGAGGGTTTGACTGTTTCGAAGGATTGTGCAGGCTTGTTAAACAATGGACTTGATGTGTATTTGAAGAGATTAATAAAACCCTGTTTGGATTTATCTGCTTCGAGGTCTGAACAACACCTGCCCAATAAAGTTAGCCATCAGGACATGTCTGGTATAAATAAGATGGGTTCCACATATGTAAAGAAACCAAATAGATCATTTTCTGTGTCAATGCTGGATTTTCAAGTTGCCATGGAGTCGAATCCCAGGATACTTGGAGAAGATTGGCCAGTATGGTTTGAGAAGGTTTCCTTGTGTGCATCAGAATATCACATGGCAGAATAGTCTGTGATACTTGTTGCTGTTGACAGAATTTATACGATCACCAAGTGGTATAAAGCTACGAAATTTTTGGAGAAAGTTGATTAGGTTGTATATACTTCACAAAGCTGATTATTTCTAGGGTGGGATGTCTTACCTCATGAAGTAAAAGGACAAGGATACTAGTAAGATTGTAGCGATGACATAGTTCACTAGCTTTCTTCCGATAATATAATATCTTGTTATCTCAATGACCTTTTATTGGTTAATAAATCTTATTTTTTCCAGTGTATCTACTTGGTCGCTGTTAATCAAGTACTACATCTTGTTGAGCTGCTCAAGTACAATTTCTTCCAGGATGATATCCTCTTATTTTCTTTTCGACTTGTATTCTGTTCGTTAGCTTGTGGGATTATCTCATCTGGATGGCCTCTCTGAAAACCAAGTATCAGAATGTGTTTATTTCAACTTTGGGAGGGCTACAGTTACATTTTAAAGTTTCGAGTAATGGTATTGGAAGTCTATCAAAGAGAATTTCATGGTGGAAGTCTGATGGAAAATTTTTTTCTCACCATCAGACTTCTTCATAAAAATTGTTAGTTCTGTCAGATTTACACTGAATTTAAACGTAATTCTGCAAAAATTACTATGAGCATACAGTTGTTTCAAGATAGGTACTCTTTTTCTTCATTTGTGTCTTTTGCAGGATACACTTGAAAGATGATTCTTCAACTGCTTCCTTCCGCACATACCCATATTAATTTGGTTATTAGTTGCACTCGCAGCCACAACCAAACATTGCTGCTGTAACGAGGAGCAGATCAATAGATCTACATTTACTCGCTCTGTCATTAATCTAATACTTAGCTATGATTGATTTTATAATTTGTTTAACATGGGAATCTTGAAGTGCATCATATATGGGTTGAGTTTGGTAAAATCATTGAGGTTTTGTGGTTTTTGCTCCTCTTTTTGTCTATAGATAATTACATTATTAAGACACTTAATATGCAGAAAAAGCTGGAATAGAGAGAGAACGAGAAAACGACTAACGAGATCATATTAGAACGAGAGAAAAGTCTAGTATCTTGAATCCAGCCAAGTGTTATTTTATAAGGGGTGCAAGTGTGGCATGTAAAATAGCATAATATATTCAAGAACCTCACATTTAGTGAGCAAGTCAATTGCAGAAATGATGGCTCAAGAGAGAAATGTGAACTATGAAGGGTTTCCATGGATTTTTGGTTTAGTTTATTTCATATCCCAAAATAAATAGAATTTTTTTTTTTTATTTTCTAAAATTTAAATATGTCATTGTTATATATAATGTCATGGCCTATGAGAAGTAGAAAACGCATTGGTGGGATCTTCAAGGATGGAAAAATATTGCAATAAGTTTGATAGTGTTTGTTTGCTATGCATTACTCATTAGAAGTGGACACTTAATAAAACAAGATATTTAACTTTTTTTTTTCTTCAATATTGTTCATTCCTGCATACCAAACATGTCATATTTGTGTCAGGACCTCAGGTTTATTTAGGCCTTGTTTGGGAGTGATTTCTTTCTTCCAAGAATTGATTTTCCTGCCGTTTATTTTTGACCGTTTCTCACAGAAGTCTTAGCTGCAATTGTGGAATTCTTACCGTTGCTGGCTTCAACGGTCCAAAAAGCAGTTTTCTGAGAATTAGAAGTGTTCCCAGACAGGATCTTAAGTTTGTGAATGGCTTTTGCTGGAGGCCTCGGGCTTTTCCCAAGTTCTAATCAACACGATTACTCATCCCTAGAAGTTGATGACAACATGATGCCATGATCAAACAACCAATTCATACAATATGATTATGTCATGTGGCTCAACATGCAAAATTAATAAGCTCCTCAACTCAACTACTACATATTGAAGAAAAAGGGTGATAAAATATATGAGTATGTAACTAAGTGAGCAGAGAGTTCGCAATAATTATATTTTTCTAGTTTATACAATTTTATTAAAAAATTGATTTATATAATATTATAACATTTAGCAATTTTAAAATATGATAATTACTTTCAAAACTGCAAACAATGAAAATCATAAAATCATTTATACTTAATTCTAATAAAGCACCTGTAAAGCATAAAAAATCTGATTAGCAGTATCAATAAAAAAATGAGTAAAACTATCATCTCATAATACTATAAGCTGATGTTTTTATTATGTATACTGAATAAATTGTAATATACTAAAAAATCACACCCAAAAGTTTACCAATGGAAAAACTGTACACATGTATCGAGCAATTTCTATGTACATTTCAGGACTACTCATAATTCAGTAACTGTAATTTTGAAATTCTTTTCATACGCGCAGAGCTGCCCCTAAAGGGCTAAGCACCTTGGTAAAAGGTCCAAAGCTTATGTGAGTATGAAAGTGGGATCCAAAGACCTTTTATAATCTGTTGATATATTGTGAAAATATATTCACACCAGTGTAGAGCAGGTTAATCACGTGGTAATTTCTCGTGGTTTTAAAATTAATTTTACATTTACTGAAATATTTAATATTGTTATACTATGCTAATGAAAATATTTAACTCAATTGAATTTAAATCTTGAAAGAATTAGGGGTTGTTCTATTTGTCGCTTTCATCCCATTTTCTGTTTTCAATTTTTCAAAATAGTGAAAATACGTTTACTTACTTATTTTCGAAAACGAATTTCTAAAAACGAGTTTAATATTTACAAAGAAAACTGAAAACTGAAAAAATGTCGCTTTGGGTGTTTTCAGTTAAAATTAAGCCAAAATTTTCAAAACGCGTTTTGAGTGTTTTCAGTTATGCTACCAACAAAAACCACTGTCATTGCCGCTTGCACCACACCGTCGCCGGCGCACCGCCAAAACCACCGTCACAGCCACAGCAGCAGAAGAAAAAACATCGCCGAGTCACAGCCATCGCCACACCACGCACACCACCGCCACAGCCACAACCTGCACCACACCACTGTCGCACACCACGCACCTAGAACCACCACACACTACCGCCATAGCCACAACTGCGACCTAAAATAGTCGCACACCACAGACCCAAACCACCATACACCACATCCACAGCCACAGCCACAGCCAACCACTGCATCCAAAAAAAAGAGATGAAGCCGTCGGCGATCGCACATACAACCGCTCGCTGCTTGTCGAATTCAGCAACCTTGGAAGGGAGGGAGGGAGGGAGAGAGAGAGAGGAGAACACATTTTCTAATTTTGGGTTTTTGAAAATAATTTTTCAAAACGACAAAAAGAATTCATTTTTAATAATCTCAAAATGGGCACTTAAAACAAAAAGAAAAATTGAAATACGACAAAAACATCCCCTTATTTAAAATAGCTGACTTGTTCTAAAAATCATGCTTGTCCACTAATTTTTTGAAACTTATGTATTTCATTGAAATCCATATAATAAAAAGATCATAGCATTTACAAGCTAAAATATATAGTATTTAAATTCTTATTTTTTGAAAAATATTTTTCCACTTACAGAATTAGAGACTGAAAACTAGGTTGGCTGGTATGTTTTATCAACCTCCTCATCACCATCAGAATTACGATATAAATGTTCAAGTTAACATCTTTAGACAAAATATAGAATATAATATATTCGGAAGCCAGATACATGTACGTAGCTTTAGACAAAATATAGAATATAATATATTTAATTATTAAAGAATGAACAGAATACAATATATTTAATAATTAAAGAACGTCTCATTTTAATAATTGGGGATAATTGCAGCAGTGATAGATTTTACCCAAACCTTTCAATCGTGTCACCCGCTATATCAAAATTTTCAAAATGTCGCAACTGAATTCCAAATTGATAGTTTCTGTTAGTTTGACCATTAGTTGACCAAATAATTGACATTAACAATAATTTAAACTAATTTTAAAATGTTAAAATTGTAACTTTATATTTTTTATAATAAAATAACTAAAATCAAAAAATTAAAATTAAAACTCATTTCCTACTTCTTCTCCATCCACCCTACACATACACACTCCCATCCAAAAACCAAGACCACAACTGTCGAACGGCCTAACCGTACCCATCCAACGCCAGCACCACTGTCATCTCCTCCACCACCACCTTCATTACAGCGGCGCCGATGTTGGGTGGGTGCGGTTGGGTTTTTCGCTAGTGGTGGTGATGGTTTTGGGGTGGGGGTAGGTATTTATGGGGTGGATGGAGAAGAAGAAGGTGGAAATAGGTTTTTAATTTTAGTTATTTGATTTTATTAACCTTTTAAAATTAGTCAAAATTATTGCTAAGGTCAATTATTTAGTCAACTAATTGTCAAACTAACAAAAATCATTCATTTGGACTTCAACTGCAACATTTTGAAAGATTTGGTACCACTCCTACAATTATCCCTAATAATTATTATTTCAATTATTCTTGGTTCAGAAAATTCTTTACTTATTTGAGTACAAAGATGAATAAAATGAGAAAATGATTGAAGTACAAATGGAGTATATAAAATTCAGGAATGTGGTATAAGTATGAAAAAATAAAGTATTTTTGTTTAACGAGAGTCAACTCAGGGCTAAGTAAGATAATTTTTATTCTTTATAGTTAGATGCACTTATATACAAGTATACTAGCCTTGATAGTGAATTTAAAATTGGAGTTACACCAAATACACCTAGAGACTGTATTTTATTTAATTAATTAAAGAGATCTACATGAATCGACTAATAGGTTTCACTATTAAAGGCTTTTTAGTATTATGATACTTTATAGTTACACTCATGGCTTGATGCAGTCATTTTGACAGTGGTATTAGAGTTTTGACAATGTTTAAATTCCGTATAAATATTATCATATGGATGAAGATTATTGTATTTATGTGAATGTTTAATGGTAGGTTGTAATTCTAATTTTTGGTATTGACGATATCATATTGATTAAACATAAGAAGAAGTACATTGAGATCATTTTGAAATGTTTCTAACTAGAGAATGCCACATATTGGTCCTCCTATATCGAAAGACGATAACAAGTCTCCATATATATCCAAGGACTTCATAAGTGGACAAAGAGAAATATTCAAAGAATCATATTCTAATACAGTTAGGAGTTCGAGGGATGCTACAATGTATACTTGCTCTAACATTTGTCATGATATGGATCTAGTCAATATGTATCAATGTTATCCTTAGAAAATATATTATGATGCCTAATGGTTACTATCTGTTATTCCATTTGTCGTCGAGAGAATAACTTGTGATTAAAAAAAAGATATATAGATGTTGACTAAGGATGAGACCTAGTCGAGCACAAATAATTATTACACTTTTGCACTCTTGCTATATAAAGTAGCAATAAGCAAAACTTATAGTAAATATCTTATAGAACAAGAAATTATTTGGTATAGATGTATTAAGCATCTAATGATATTGGTTGAGAAT